CAATAATTATCGAAATTATAAAGTATATGATATCACTAATTGATTTTCTTGTTGCAAGATACAAATCTTATTTTTTGCAATACAAATTACATTATGTTTTCCATACATAAATCAAAATTCTACCAAAAAAGCCTCTAGATTATTCAATATTAGATCTTGTCATTCAAAAAAAGATGATAACCATAATAATATAAAATATTGATTGATAAATCCTTAAAACTTAGATCTTGTACCATCAAACTTCTTGTGTAAATCAATTCTAGATTTTGTAACACTGGAAGGATGTTCTATTATAGAAAAAAGGATGTGATTTGGTGTAGATATTGAAGTGGTTCCAATAATTTCTATATCTTTACTTCTTGCCATTTTTGTTGCTTTTAAACATGATAAACTAAATTGATGCATTACAAACATCAATTCCCTCAATTGCTCTTGTATTTGTACTATTACACTTTTTATTTTAAGAAGCTCTACCATGATAATACTTAGAAAAAAAATATCTAATATTGCTCAAAGCAAACAAAAAAGAGGATTTGAAAACAAAGAAAATATTAAAAATAATATTAGTATAGTAGAGGGTAATTTGTAACTTCTAATATGCTTATATCTTATCAAGAGATTGGGATAATCCACTCTTAATTAAGAAAAGGCAAAGCTCTAATATTTTAAGTATACTCTTGTCAATTTGTCAAGGATAAGAAGTCAATGAAAGTAAATAGTTAAATGAGGCTCTTTCAAGGAAATATGAAAACATAGAAATTAGAGAATTATGTATTTTGAAAAGAAACTGGAATGGCTATTGCCAAAAGACAAGGAAATTAGAGACTCTTAAAACTAGACTAAAAAAAAAAAAAGAATTGATAAGAATGAAGAAGGCTTTACTCTTACTTTTATATATACTATCTATCTGGAATTTATATAGAAATGTTCTATAAGATCTCCAAAAATGTGTTGACTTTGTATGACACATATCTTGACTTGCAAGGCAACTTTTTTATATGGACACTGTCTTGAAGAGAGAGTTTTGCCTTGAAAAAACATCGAGTTTTTTACTACTACAGTTTGTTCTACTATCTTATAACTTTAAAAAATGCACAATACTTTATAAATAAAAATCTTTGTAAGTTCACTTGTCCCTCATATCAAAAAAAAAAAAAAAAAAAAAAAAAAAAATCTTTTCATTAAACATTTGTAAATCAAAAAAAACACGAGAAAGCCAAAACCTCCTTAGAGAGTCTTTATATCTTCCTTCTAAGATGGTTGCCATCCTTTCAAAATCCTAAATTTTATTTTATTTCTAAATCCTAAATCCTATTTTATTTCTAAACCCTAAATCCTAAATCTTACTTCTAAATCCTAACCCTAAATTTTTTATTTTTATTTGAGTTTGTTTATTTTTTTTAAGAAAAAAAAAATTAGGATTAAGGATTCCAAAGGATTGATGCCATCTTACTCAAAGCTACTACTAACATATGGCTTCTTTCTTTTTAAGAGAAGCTATATACTAATCTATCAAAAAGATAAATATATAAAAGATGTGGACATCACACATCATGCTACTATTAAAGAAGTTTTATTTTGTAAGAAATAGTAATTTAAAGAAATTTATAAAAATTTATATACCTATTTATAGATCTATTAAAAATATGTCTATTAAATTTTATATTAAATAAATTTTTCAAAATTTATTTATCCTAAATCCTATTTTTTCTTTATATAATTTACTTTTAATTTCTAAAAATTATAATACTTATTGCTAATAGGATTTGTTCACCTATATATATATATATATATATATATATATAAATATATTTTTATTAATCTTTATTTTATATAATATTTAATTAATTAATTAATTATAATTTTTAATTTTTTTGAATATTTTATTTAATAAAAAAATACAAACTAAGAACTAATAATTTTTATAGTTCTTATCTAATTTTTATATATTTTGTACAAATATGATACAATGATGCCACATAGTTAGCTTGTTTTGCAAGCTACTAACATAGATGTCATATAGATAGCTTGTTGATCAAGTTTCTAACCTATCAATCAATTATAAACATATATAAAGTCAAAACAGTGTCTAAAAAGCTTCTAGAAAGTTTCTTTAAAAGGTGTTATGAAATTAATTTACTTTTATCTACTTCTACCTATTCATATTACTTAGATAATAATTACAATAAATATATATCTGTGACATATGGACTTCTTTAGCCATTACCTATTTCAAAACAACCATGGTCTTTTATTTCTATGGATTTTATCACAAATCTTCCAATCTCAAGTTTGTATGATTCTATATTCGTAAGAGTAGATTTTTTTACCAAAATCATACATTTTGTATGATATACAAAATCTATTGCAAGTAAAGAAATAGGTAAGCTTTTTCTTGACAACATCTATTCTATCATAGATTATGTAATGATATTATATTAGATAGGAGAACTTAATTTATATCAAGATTTTAGAAAACTCTTTTCAAGGTTTTAAAGGTAGATATAAAGCCGTCTTTGTCTTTTCATCTTCAAACTGATGGATAATTATAAAGGATTAATCAAGTTTTAGAGTGGTATTTGAGATGTACCTTCAATTTGCATCAAGGTGATTGAATAACTCTTTTGTTATTGACAAAGTTTGCATACAATAATTTAGTATACTCTTTTACTCAAAAAATATATATATTTTTTTTTTATCAATTATGGTTATCATCCATAACTTGATACTTTTGACTTTTGAAAAATTAATAATCTTACAGCAGAAGATTTGACAAATTGTTTGTCAGATTTACATGCAACAATGAAGGCACAATTAAAGGAAGCCCAAGAATGACAAAAGATCAATCCAGATACTTATTGCAAGGAATAATTATAATTCAACATGGGTGATAAGGCATGGTTACTTCATCGTAATATGAAGACTACTTGCCCTTGTGACAAATTGAACTATTCTAGGCTTGAATCTTTTTGTATTTGTAAACAAGTAAATCTTATTGTTTATTAATTACATCTTTTGAAGTCTATGAAAACCCATCTCATATTACACATATCTCTTTTTGAGCCATATAAGAAAGTGAATATCTTGGGAAGAAGAAAAGTGCCACCTCCTCCTATAGAAGTGGATAATATTTAAGAGTTCAAGACGGAAGAAATTTTAGATTCAAGGTAGCACCTAAATAGCTTAGAATATCTTATTCATTGATATGGATATGATATTAGTGAATGCACATGGAAGCCAACAAAGAATCTTGCAAATGTAGGAAAGAGAATTGAGGCTTTCTATCGACGACATCCATCAAAATTAAGATAAAAAATAGAAAATCTTCACTAAAAAGAAATAAGATCCAAGATAGAATTCTACTTTCTATCCTTGTTTTTAGCCTCTGTGTATTTGTGACTTCAAAGAAATGGAAAACCAACAACCAAAAGATTTAACTTAAGAGCTTTCATTTGTTGACTTATCAAATGACATATTGCAATTGTCACAACCTTCAAGACAATGTACTTGAGATGAAGATCCTCAAGAATGACATGTCTTGCCTCAAATAGATGGCAAAATACAATGTGTTTGGCATCACAACCTTGGAAGAGACTTCCGATGTTTGGTGATTTTATTAGAGGTAAGAAAAACTCCTGACGATGTTCCAAATGTTTTATTTGAAAGAAGTTACAAAGGTCTCAATAATAAGTAAATAATATGATAGTCTTCTTGCCTTTGTATGGGATATTATCAATCGTTGAGAGGACCTATCAACCATCTTCAAATAGAATATGTGGCAATCACAATTTGTCACATCTTGAATTTTCTCAATATATGAAGATTGCTCCTTGTAAAACTCATCCCTAAAAGAGAAGATAAGATCACGGACCTAAATATTTACTCTACTATTTACCTATATGATTAAATAAAGGTAAATAAAAATAGATTTATTTTATAATATTTTCTAGAAAAGCTTATTAGAAGCTTCATAGATGTTGTTTTGACTTTATATGTATTTGTAATTGATTGATAGGTTAAAAAATTAGTCAATAAATTAATCACGTATTAATAGCTTTCAGAACAAGTTAACTATGTGGCATACATATAAAAAACTTGCCTTGCAAGTTAATATACATATCTTGCAAAGTCAACATGTTTTAGAGGTCCTATAGGACATTGATATGTAGTTCATAATTAAGAGTATACATGGAAGTAAGAATGAAACCTTCTTTACTCTTATCAACTCTTTTTTAGTCTTAAGTCTTGTTTCAAGGCTTTCTAGTTTTTTTGTCTCCGGCAATAGCCATTTTAGTTTAATACTATATCATCTTTGAGTGATTTTCTAATTTTTTTAAGTGACATATAAGTGCATTAAAGTTTTCTTTCTTTAAGATTCATGTCCTTGATATTTTGTTTTATAATTTCATAAAAAAATTTCTAAAAATCTCTAAGATTAATAAATTATCTAAGAAATATATTAATTTTAAATTTATAGAAGTATATTCATCTACTTCAATACATCTTTAAATAAAATAGAAAATATTTACATGTAAGTAATTAGATAGAGATATATATATATATATATATATATATACATATATATACATACATTATAGTACACATAATAACATATTAATCAGAGTGAAATTATTCTAATTTCATTTATTTTTTAATATAAAATCTATATTGTGCACTAATGTAAATTATTAATTTGTATAAATTTGAAAATAAAATTTAAAATTCAAAAAAATAGATTATGATTTTAAATTGATCAATAATTTTGACAAATTGTTTTTGCTTGTTGTATTGATTAGAATAATGTAGTTAAATTAATTAAGATATATTTATGATTGTCAAGTTGAGTATGATGGACATTACATAATTAACAAAAAGATCTAACAAATGCTTCATTCAAATGAATCATGCACAAGAATAAACAATAATTTCTTATTTTGTTTTATTTTATTTTTTTGTTACAAAAAAAATAATGTATATGGTGTTTAAAATTATACCATATCTCTATTAATTTTGCAATTCTTATTGCGGAAATAGGCCACCATGGTAGGCAAATATCTACAATGTTTTGATCAAGGACTCATAAATTTATTAGTTTGCAATCGTTGATCTGCGGATTAGGGTCCACATTGGCACCCATTGTTCAAACCCAACACTCAATCTACAGTCACTTGCAGCAGTTCTAGACATCATAAATGGGAATCCAGCTTGAGAAACCAGAATGGCTGCAAAGTTTGCTAGCCAACCTGAACAAACATCGACAAAGGCCTGCATGCTTTCCTCAGCATTCTAGACCTGCAGATCACGATTCTTCCAACCTAACAAAACCTTGAGATATATTCAGATGAGTTTGTCAAGCTGAAGCACATAAAAAGATGCAAGAGTTGCAGACAATTGTTGGTGGGTTGTGCACATGGGACTTACGACAGTTTGTTCGATGCTGTGAAGCCATGATCTTGAGCTTGACAAGAGCAGCAAAAGCTCAAAAATGCTCTTGTGACGCCGCATGAAGGATAGTCACAAGCAATCGGTAGAACTGCATATAAGCTTTTTCTAAACGGAATCAATATTCATGAGGCAACAGTGAATTCATGATGAAAAAACACACCTCGCTGTGTAAGTCTACATCCACCGTGATGGCCAGAATGCATAAATCCAGTAGCCAGTCTTCCAGTTGTCAAGGGAGATGACCTTCCTTACAGCCACAAAACTGACAGTGATGACGAGGAACATCACGAGCCGTTGTACGGTTTTGGACCGAACCAGCGGGGCAAAATGCGTGACGATTGCTAACAAAACCCCGACGAGAGTGTAGAGAAACCCTACCACAAACCCCTCAGCTCCAAGCTGCATCCCGGATCCCTGGTAGAAGAATACCAACTTCCCTTGGTTGTTGTGGTCTTGCATGAAGAGCGGCATCTTGCGGATGATGTTGTGCATGCCTCCGGAAACGCTGAAGAAGTAGATCATTAGGGCTCCCAGACACCACAGCCTAGGCTCCCGCAGTGGCGAGTTCGGAGATGTTACAAACTTCAGGAGGAACGGTGAAGCAAGCAGAATCAAGATGCACAGGGCCCAGATTTGGCCCTTGCTAAGAGGTAAAGGCCGCTCAATGGGGCCACATTCCTCCTTGGTTTTCGCGGTGACAAATGATGCAATTCCTTCGGCTGTCCGAGGAAATTCACCCGGATTCATCTCCTCGCTCACCTTCTGATCTTCGCTTCCCGGTGCAACAGACCTAATATGGGGCAGAGCTTGAACCCCAAAGAGCTGGAACACGCCCTGCATTTTCTTGAATTCTAGGTCACAGAAGAACACCTTGGCATCCGCATCCGTCCCCTCGTTGTGCTTCGCGTACGCTGTTGCAACTAAACCAAACTCTTTTCTTAACTCCACCAATTTCAGCTCCGTGTTGGCATGAAGCTGGCTGGCGTCGAAGAATAAGATCAGAGAATAAGGCCGGGGCTTCGTGGTCGCCATAAACCTGCGGAAATTGCTCTCTTCTAAGCGAATCACGCCATCCTTAGACTGCGATCGCAGGTGCTTAAGCTCTGCCACGCGGTCCTCATTCAGGTCTGCTTCCGAAACCAACAACATCACCACCAACAGAAACCCAACTCCCAAACACCTAGACCTCCACATTTTCGCCGATCCAGCGTCAAACACAAACCCTAACGCCCCTCAACTAGCTTCGGATTCAGCCCCTGCTGAATAGGCTTCGAGAGCAGTTGCTGAAGTATTACCCATAAAACAAGAGTTCTACAAACCCATCGTTAGCTTTCGACCACCCTTCTCCATCCAGGAAGCATGCCAGTTCCCGCGATTCATCACATTCTCATCAGAAATACCGTGAACACGATTTCACTGTAGCATCCAGCTAGAATCAGCACCTCGCAACACTCCAACTTAAAACGTATTAGAATCCTAATCTACAACGCTGGAAACAAAAAGTAACAGATGTTGACCAAAGAAGAAAACGTTGAAAATCGGTCTACCTAATCAGGAAAATTAAAATAAAAAACGAAAAGGGTAAAGAAAATTGAATCATTCAGCTATGTGAACTGCGAGGATTTACTTAGCTTTTTCATCTTATAACGTGTGCACATAGAATTTCTTTTGCACTTATAATAAGAATCACGGGACACCAACCCTGAGTGTCCCAAGGTCAACGTGCTCTTCATTCCACAATTGCGCAAGTCATTAAAATCTACCTCAAAATTTATCTCATACGTAGCCACTTTCGCTCAACCTGGTTGAACTCGAAATTTGAAAAAACTTTTAGTCTTCTCCAGTCTACAAACAAGCTACTACAACCCTACGAAAATTTTAGGAGCAGGCATGTTGAATTGGTGTGCTGGTATTTGACTTTGACCACAAGATTAATGTAGGGAACTGCAGGATGGAAAACATATGGAGGAACCTGTGTTTCGTGATTCGACAGATGTGATTGGAGCCGCACAGTCTCGCGTCCGCGACCTTTTTGAACCAGAACTTTCCAACACAACCACGCCTACAGTTTAGTTTCGACGTTTCCATAGTTTTCATTGCTTTGGACACGAATGCCTATGTGCTGTACCAAAGTTTCTGTCCTCACCCACATTATGCTCCATTCGTGAGCGTTTCAATGATCCCTTTCCCAAGCAAGCTGAATCGAGGGGATCGCATTAGTGATCATTCCTTGGGGGGTGTTTCTTCAGAGAGGGTTGGAGAAGCATGACTGTGTAGCGAGATTTGAGAAGTCAGAAGAAATCCTTCTCGAGGAACTGTGCCCGACGAGTGTCGAACGCACAAGAGCTAGCGGATGCGTCAGGAATGGGTGGAGGAATGGTCATGGAGGTGGATGTTGCGATAGTAGGAGGTGGGATGGCAGGGTTGGCTCTGGCGGTGGCCTTACAAGAGAGGGGTATTCAGGCTCACGTGTTTGAAAAAGCGCCCGCGAAACGGAAACACTTCGGTACAGGAATGAGCATCGGACAAAATGGTATGTTGACGTCTCTTCTACGTGATAAATACTTAGATTGATGCTTGGAAAATTCTCAACCGTGTGCGTTTGATTTTATTGGTCGCCACGAAGTGGCCTGACAGATAAGGTGAATGTGCAGGCATTCGAGCACTGGAAGGAATCAAGCCAGGATTGAGCGAAAAGATGGAATCTCTGGGTCAACGAACGAGACAGTTCACCACTACTATTCGGCAGCCAGGTGAACCTGAGATCAAGATTTCCCCATCGTCACAACTTGTAGCGTCAGAGAGGATGTTTACAATCACATGGAAGTCCGCATGCGACTCTCTTTTAGACTCGTTGATTGACTCTGACAAAGTGCATAGGAGGCACACACTTATCGACTACAAGCCTGTCGAGGTACTTACCCTAATTTGCAGGCTATGTGCAAATTAAGGTGCTTTTGTGATCACCATACAGCTTACAACTTTTCAGATTGTTAAATGGTCACGAGAACTCATTTTTGGCTTTCCCCTCGAAGGATGGTGTGGAGGCGCTCTTCGAAGTGCAGGTTGATGAAGCCTCTGGACTCTCTACCGCGGAGACTAAAGTGACAGCCAAGCTGTTAGTGGGAGCCGATGGTGTTTGGTCTCGGGTGCGAGAGCTCATGGTGGGCGATGAGCCTCGGAACCTCAATCTCGTCACGTGGTTGGGCATAGTACCCACTGATATCGCGAGGTAACCAGTGAAAGAACCCCACGCGAATTTGTTGTAGAATGAATCTGAGGATTGAGACCAGCTCCAGCTTAAGACGACATTGAGGGTCAGAGAAAAACTTAACAGGTCACACACTTCTCGTCCAGGTCAATGCAACTTCACCAGGACGATGAAATCAGCTTCATCTCATATCCTTCTAAGCGGACGGGCATAATTACGTGCCATTGCGGTAAAATCGTCAACGTGCTGTTTCGGTTTTTTTTTTTTTTTTTTTTTTTTTTTTTTTTTTCCTTCAAACAGGATGTTGTCCAGTTTGTTGGGTACCTATCAGTGAGGATTAGTTGTCAGAAGATGCACTCATGGGATCAAAGTTGCGCCTTTACCAGTTGATTCCTACAATGTTTTGGTAGATGTGATGGTAGCTCACCAATGTCAGCGAAATCCGTATCTGAGGGTGCGTGTCGTGGTCATTCAGGCTCTGGACAAAGCCTCTGGCATTTCCGCATTCCTGACGAGAGTGGTGAACTCATGAAATCTTTCACTTCGGATTTCCACGACCACGGTCAAGAGGCACGAAAAATGCGTGTTCTCAAGCGGATAGAAGCTATGAAAGAATTGCAGAATATGAAGACAGTAATCGAGCGCACAGAAAGTTCTGTGATTCGTGAGGATAGAAATTTCGATCGGTTGCCGTTGAGCAGTTGGAGCGACCCAAGTGGTCACGTCGTGCTTTTAGGAGACGGTAATCCCCCCTAGACCCCTCTGGAATACTATCTTCCAATTCAAGCGCAAACCTCAACCCTAAGACTTCTTCTTTTACGTAGTATACAGTTAGGATGAGCTCATATCTAATCAGTGCTTATTCAAGGCACTCCACATCAGGATGCAATGGTTATGAACTGTTTCTGGAACGATTTCGTGCAGCTGCCCATGGGATGTATCCTGGACCTGGAATGGGCGCTAGGGTGGCCTTCGAGGACGCACATCAACTAGCCCTACTTCTTCACGAAGCCTTTTCCAGTCCAACTCCGGCAACCGCGGTGCCAGCCGCAATCAAAAGGTAATATAATGCTTGCATAGTGTGTTCGAATCGACCATGTACTGAAACACCTGATTCCCGAAAGGGGCAGTGGCTAGCAACTCGACTAACACAGCCCAGAGATCCATTTCCTTTCCTCAAGCTTTCCAGTTCGCATGTTACAACCACAACCCATGCATTGATTCAGCTGGTCAAATGCTTCTTGCACTTGTTGCGACAGATACGAGCATCTGCGTATACCACGATGCACTGCGTTGCAAGGATTCGCAGCAGAGCTGACAACCTGGCCGGCTATGATTCCGGAGCTTTTGCAGAGCTTGTCTCCAGAGCAGAAAGCGCAGAGAGTTGAGGAGTTCTTCCGATGGATCAACAAGTATCCTGCCGCCATGGCTGGAGATCCAGACTCCAGCTTCTGGAAACCGGAGCAAGTCACAGGAATGTGAATTCCTTGAATATATATATATATATATATATCTATATATATAGTATTTTTTTTAAAAAATAAAATCAACACCATAAAAAGTCAATACCATAAAAGTCATCAAATGTTATTTTTATTATCACATGTTCATAGATTTGTGGTTGCTTTTTTTGGTTGAAAACTTTGAATATAACTAAATCTATCTTTTAATTTACAAGTTCTATAATACCTCTTATTTGTATAAAAAAAGACTGATATTGTGGATATGAAAGGGAGATTTGTGGTTGCTTTTTTTTGGTTGAAAACTTTGATTTGTAGATACCTTTATATTTTACTATTTTATAATATCAGCATTCAAAATTTTCACATAAGTGAGATATTTTGATTAAGTATGTTTTAAATATCTAAATGAGTCAAATTCACATAATAAATCTAAATCTTAACTGAAAATGTGATTTGATTTGAATTATGGAATTTAATAATTACATCTAATATATTATATGCAATTGTACATATATAAATGCTAAAAACTATCATTGATCTATACATCATTAAAATCTATATTTCTAATTTATTTATTTTATATAATTTTTTAATTTTCTAAGTGGTTTAGAAATAAGAAGATAAAAGTCTAATAAATAAAACCACTTAATATTTTGTCATAAATAAAAAAAACCAAGAATTACTTGATAAAATTAATAACCAATATATTTTATAGATATATAAAATTACTTATGTAAGAAGTGTTAGATGGAAGGTAAATATAGGTAGATTTGATAATATCTTGTGGACAAGCTTCTTAAAAGTTTTATAGATGTAAATTTGATTTTATATATGTTTATAGTTAATTAATAGGTTGGAAGCTTATGGTATAAGTTGGCCAAAAAGTGTATATGTAGGAAATCTATCTTATAAGTTTGACATGTATTAGATGTCATATAAAATGCCCACATGAAGCTCTTAGATAGATAATATATATAGAGACAAAAGTTGTAATAAGGTATGGATAGGATATTTGTATTTTTATATATAGAGATATGTAGTTGGAGTTATTTTTAAAAAGTTTCTAGAATTGAGGTTAGGGTGGTGATTCATGTAGAATCTACTATGGAACCTTCTAGAAAGGCTTAAGGCACTTACTGTGGTGAAGCCCAACTTTAGAATCTTCTAGAAAGGAAGTTATTTTGATGGGGCCTATCATTAGAAAAATTCTAGAAAGTTCTAAGATAGTTGGATAAAGTATAAATAGGACTAGCTGGGGCCATTTGAGGCATTTGATTAAGTATGGCTTCAAATTCTTTTTTTAGTAAAGTTTGGTTTTCTTCTTCTGTTTTATTTTGTTTTATTCTCTTTTATGTAGTGTTGTCTTTCATGTTGCATTCTATTTAGTTACTTTTAGTTTTATTCTAGTTTGCTTGGTCTTACAATGTGTTGAGATCTTTGTTGTTATGGATTTGGTAAGGTTTTAGAACTTAGAGAATTTGGTCCTATTTCATTAATATTAGAGTGAGTATTAGTTTGTTCTTTGGTAGTGTGTTGATAGTCAGTGTTTAGTTGGAAGTCAATTCTTGTGATCAAATCAGATATTATTTTGGAGCTACAATGAGCTACTTCAAGAAGTTAGCTAGAAAAGAAGAAGGTATTACAATAGCAAAGTTCAGCAAGGAAATTATAGCATCGAAGATATGACAGAACAATCCTAGATGGAGACTTAGATATAACATCTCTTAGGTCAAATAGCTACTCTGCAAGGACAAATAGAAGCTTCTAAGATAAGGGAGTTAACATTTGCTAGGCTGAAATTGAGCAAGCCCAATATATGCTCAAGGACCTCAAGGCAAGAAGATGTATGCCAATGGCTCTTCAGTATGCGATAATACCTCTTATTATCTAGGGCAAACACTAGCGGAAAAATTATATATGCTTCCAATTATTTGAAAGGTATAGTAGGCATTTCGTGGCGACATTAAGCTCAAACTTATAGAGCTTAAGGTAGATTTGGTGACTAAGAGGAATTTGAAACTAAGCTTAGGAATCAATTTTGGCCCATCAATGGAGGGAAGTGTCATGGCCATATACATTTATTCCAATAGTTACTTATATGATTAGGTAGAAGTAGATAAATATAGATTAATTTCATAAAATCTTCTAGAGCAACTTTTTAGAAGCTTCATAGATGCAGTTTTGACTTTAGATGTATTCGTAGGTTAGAAACTTGGCCAACAAATTAATCACATGTTGGTAGCTTGTGGAACAAGTTAACTTTGTGTAATAGCTTATAGAATAAGCTAATTATATGGGACATATATAGATAACTTGCTTTGCATGTTAAGACGTGTGGCTAGCAAAGTCAACACATGTTAGAAGTCTTATAGAATATCACTACATAGCTCCTAATTAGACAGTATATATAGAGGCAAGAGTGAAGCCTTCTTTACTCTTGTCAATGCCTTTTTAGTCTATAGTCTTGTTCAATGACTTTCTAGTCTTCTTGTTTTTTGGCAATAGCCATTCTAGTTCAATATTATATTATTTTTGAGTGACTTTTTAGTTTCTTTTAGTGATACAAGAATGTATTAAGGATTTTTTGTTCCCAAGATTCATATCCTTGATAGTTTGACAAGAATACTAACTTACTATTTTTATCTTATTTTAGAAGTGAGTAGATTATCCTACTTCTATTGTTGTATTTTAAAAATTACATACTACTTACTTTTAAACAAAAAATCTTATTTTCTAACACTGATTTTTTTTTAAAGAAAGTCAATTATCCCTCTTTTTAGGAATTTTTATTAGAGGTTGCAGATCATCATCTTTTAATTTAATTTTTTGAATTTGTATAAATTATCTATAGAAGAAAAGATTATGGATGCTACTCTCAAAAAAAGTGAGAATAGATTTGCAACTATTGCAAATCTTCATAAGCTTGTCAACATTCTAAAAGAAAAAATCTCACATATTTCTAACGTAAATAATAGAACTACTATACCTATACCTTTGAAAGAAATTCAGAGTTTGTGGCAAGAAGTTGTGCAGTTGAAAGAAGCAAGTAGATTGACCTTACAACCAAATCCAGGGAGTTTTGCTTTTACATGAATGACGGAAACAAAGATTAATATGCTTGAGAATTTTGATGGAACAAGATCAAAATTTCAATGGTTTTTACAATAAGTTAAGTTCTATTGAAGGTTGCATTGTTTTTAATATCCCAATAGAATTATTCAAGTCAGATTCATAAGTATACTTTTATGAGAAAGTACTATCTTTTAGTTTGTATATTTAATAGAAAAAGATTTGTAACTCCTTTATGATTTGATTTAATTCTTAGAAGTATTTACCACTATATTTAGAAAAAATAATTGAGAAAGAGTAGTAGAGATCAAATTCTTATTTTTATAGCACGGATCACAATCAGCCACTATATATATTACTGAATTCTAAAACCTCACTTGCGACGTGGATTGGAATGACAAAGTCCTTATCAATCACTTTTAATATGGGTTAAAGGATATTATCAAAGACTTATTATTGACAATGCCAAAGGTAGAATCTTTGAAACAATTTATTGCTCAAGCCATTGTATATGATAATCAATTATTTGAAAGACATCTAGAATAAAGATTTGGTTAGAGAAGAACAAATCAAATAATAATGGTAGCTCCTAAGTTTTTAGAAACTTATTCATCAAGGCTATAACCAATACAAATTGATACGGTATGTTTTAAATCAGTCACAAAGTAGAAAAAAAGTTGACGATGTCAAGAAGGTTTATGCTTATATTGTGAAAAAACTAAACATACTGCTTAACATTGTCCAAAGAAATAACGCAATTACAATATGAAAAGCACGATTGCCAAAGAAGATAATATATTAGAAAACAAGTTGTTGCAGCTACAATTGAGATCGTGCAGCTGGAATCATATACAACATCTAGTAAAGGTCTTATTCTCTCCTTAGATCCCTTATCTAGTTTTATAATAAAAGACTGATTAGGACCAAAAAATTATAAAGTCTTAGGCTTATAGGATTCACGAGACTCACCTTGTTTTATAAACGAAGACTTTGTTAAAAAACAAGATATATCCTTACTTAAGAAAATCAAATCTTTGCATATAGAAGTAATAGATGGACGTTCATTGTCTTCTGAGGATGTTACATATGAAACTATTCCTATAGAAGTAGCAACTAGTAGTCACAATAGTTTAGTAATATTTAATGTAATTAATTCTTCTTCTAATTCAATTATTTTAGGATTATTGTGGTTAAAAAGATGTAATCTTCACATAAACTAGATTTCTTACAATCTTGATTTTTCTTATAGTTTAGTCCAAGGTCTTGCTAGGCAATTAGAAACCCATAAGTCTAATACATCCAAATCAATATTGGTAGGTGCAATAGCTTTCATACATGTTACAAATCAAGGGCCATCTTTTTCCATATATGACACATCCATTTTTAATGGTGAAAAGATATGAAGTAGTATTCCTAGCAAGTATCAAGATTTCTAAGATATTTTTGAAAAGAAGAATGCACATATTCTTCTAAAGCATTGTCCTTATGATTGTACCATCAATCTTCAAGAAGGAATTCAACCACCATTTGGACTAATCTATAGCCTATTACAAAATGAGTTGGATGCACTCAAAGAATATATTAATGAAAACTTGGCTAAGAACTTTGTACACCATTCTAAATCTCCAACTGAGGCTCCCATTTTATTTGTAAAGAAAAAAGATGGATCTCTGTGGATGTGTGTAAATAATCGAGGACTTAATAAGATCACCATCAAGAACACATATTCTCTACCTTTGATTTGAAGACTTCTTGATGACTTAAATCAAGGAAAGATCTATATAAAAATAGATCTATGAGGAGCATGTAACTTGGTCTATATCAAAGAATAAATGGAAGACTACTTTTTGAACTAGGTATGGACATTTTGAATATAATATCATGCCTTTTGGATTCACAAATATACCAACTGCTTTCCAATATTTAATGAATGATGTCTTTTGTGAATTTCTTGATGATTTTGTCATCTATTTTTTAAACAATATTTTAATCTATTCTAAGAATAAAAAAGAATATGAAGTTTATGTTTGTCATGTGTTACAAAAACTAAGAGATGCATGATTATATGCAAAGATGGAAAAGTGTGTATTTCAATTTACTCAAGTTGATTTTTTGGAATACATCATTTCCAATGAAGGCCTT